ATGACATACACACTCACAAGTGTCCCTCCTCCATAGATGTTCCTTTTCCTCAAGCTTCCTACTCCCTCTCTCACCGAATTCGCCTTTCTTTCATTAAACTTTTTTTCTTCTTTTTCTTTTCTCGAACTACAGACACGGAGGAATATTTTGTTTGTTTTTTTTAACTTTTTTTTTCTTTTGATATTTTTCCTTTGTGATTAGCTTCATGATATGACTTTTTACAGTTGGCCAAGACCCTCACCCACTTTAATTGACGTTGCTGCCTCTCTTATGACAGTCCGCAAAAAAAAGAACTTAGGAAAGATTTAGAAACAAAAAGGAAAACTTTTTAAAAAAAAGAAAGAGGAATCAGAGGAAAGATGAGGAGAAAAAAGTGTCAATATTCAGTGCAACGTCCATCTCAGTCGTAGCAGATGTAATTTTAACAGCAAGCAAACACCCTTTTCTTCATCACCAACAAAGATAAGTAAACACACATAAGTTTTTACGCTGGACATAATCGAGAACTTTTTAAATTTGTTAGAATCTAAAGTTCATTGTTTCGTTCTCGTTTCTCCTACTTCACTGACAGATACGGTCAACGCAGGGCAATTTTAAAACACAACCGGAAACTTACCTGCTGGGACAGGTGTAATTAACAAACCCTACAAGTGTACGTAGCTAATATTTATTATTTGTAAGTATACGTACTTAATAATTATGAATTGTTTTTACTCCTTTTTAAAAATAAGCCGATGTTTTGGTTTGAAACGCCTGAACGAAGATTAGATGCGTTCATATTTTTCTTTTGCGCATTTTTCTCTTACATTTCTCGCAGACAACTTTTCTACACCCCGTTTTATTTCATTCATGAATTACATCGAAACATCGTATTACGTTGGATTACTAAAGAAATAAATTTGACTTTTTTGTATTCATTTTATATCGAATCCAATCTCAGCAGACGACACGAAAAAATTTGTTCCAGTTGACTGATTTTGGTCAGAGAAACGAATTTTTGTTTTTAGTTGTATACGCTCTGTTGAAAATAATAATAAAAAATCTATAAAAAGAATAAAGAACGAACGACTACATAGAAAAACGAAAGCCAAAAAATCTTTCCTTACAAAAAATCTCCAAGAAAAAAACAAAAAAAAAATTGGTCCCAATTTTGAAAGACATAATCAAATCAATGGCAATCATCGATAAACTGAATGCCGTTCCAAGTTAGCAGATAATACCAACGTATCTATCTTTGTGCAGGGCTATTCCGGACGTTGAAATTAATTAACTTTCGGCTTTAATAAGAAAAAAAAAACTGAAAAGGCGCACCCGGCAGTTGGAAAGGTGCGAAGATTGTTCGGATTTTTATTGTTTAAATTTTGGGAAACTTTTTTTTTATTATTTCTTTCTCTAAACAAATATAATGAGGAATCTTTTGAGGAAGGAGTTTTGCGTGGCCAACATTTGGTTTGGATGTCCAGATACGGAAGCATTTTATCTGCCGCAGGTGAGTTTTCTTTTCTTTTTCTTTATTGGTGCTTTGTTTTGGGGAACATTTCGTGAACACACACACACACACACACACACACACAAGCACGCACACAAGCACAAACACATACTTCAGTATGAGCGAAATAAAATTGGCGTGCATTTTATTGTCTGTGCACACATTTGCAGACAGCATCATATTAAAAAAATGTTACATAAATTACATTTGAATGTTTAAATGGCTCCATTAATTTAACTCATTTTATGCCATTCATTTTCATTATCATGCTGCATTTTATCCATATATATTTTTATACACACACACACACACACACACACACACACACATATATATATATATATATATATATATATATATATATATATATATTTATACATTATTTTTATTATAAAAGATTAGAATGAAAACATATTGAAATCGCTACACAAAAGCTTTCATGTTTCAATACTTTGATTGTACTTCTTCAGGAGATGATAAATAAATAACTGGTGAATAGCTCTGACTTGTATTGAGGATTTTTAAAAAAGTAAATGCTACGAACAGTGGAATTTTACTCCATTTGGTCTTTCTCTCATATATATATATATATATATATAACTTGCGAAGCGTTTCGTCCTTCAAGACTAAATTAGTCCGAAACGCTTCACATGTAAATTTTTTTACTCTGTGATTCAATTTATCAACATACATACATATATATATATATATATATATATATATATATATATATATATATATATATATATATGTGTGTGTGTGTATATATATATATATGTGTGTGTGTGTGTGGTGTGTGTGTGCGCGCGTCTGTGTCTATCTAAAATTTAGATATAAACTTTGGGGAAATTCTTCAAAATCTTATTTTCGCTGTTTCCTGTTTTCGACGTGTACGCAACGTTTATATAAGAACGTGTGCCTGTGCTTATGTTTATATAAGTACTTGTGCGTGTATGTGTGCGTTTTTCAAGTTTATACAGAGAATGTCTGAAAGTTTAAACTTACTCAGTTTTATCGTCACGACAATCTACTTATCAACTTGTTTAATACATATTGACCTCAATATATATCCAGGGTGTCCCCCAAAGATTTGACATCATTTTAAAAGACTGATTTCATAAGTGTTCAGTATGGGCACCGCCTGTGACACGGCACACGTCAAGTCGGTCGTTAAGCTCTTCTCAAATACGCTGATGTTGATTATGGTCGACCAGATACTTTAGCCCTGTATAAGAAGCCTTCCTCTTTAAATTTTTGGTACCAAGTCTAAATTTGTTTGCCAGTTGGTGAGATTTTTCCAAATTTTGCATTGACGGCACACTGTACAGTCTAGGGTGACTGTATGCGAGCATATTCCAAGACACAAAATGACTTCTCTTTGGGAGTGAACAGCATGGCTCAACCTGAAAACAGAACAAAAATAAAACATTAAATATAAAATCTTGATCTATTTCTATACATTCTGTGAAAAATTGAGGTTATTTCAACAAGAATTGCCAAAATTATTGGCCTGAGAAATGATGTCAAATTTTTGGGGAAACCCTGTGTATTCAGCTCAATATTTTTTAATATATATTGACGCAATATATATATATATATATATATATATATATATATGAAGAAATATACTCTTAAGGCGTAATATATGTAAGTGCTCAATATAAGAGATAGAGCGTGTGTAAATCTAAAAGTGAACATTGATGTCAACACTTAGAGGCGACAGGCTGTTTCATGCTAGACGCAATCGTCAGCCCACGAGTATATAATAACTTTCATGACCTTAATCCATATAATATCCTACAATTTCTTAAATCAAACTTTATTCCAAAATATAACATCAACAAGACTACAATATAATGTACACATATCACTGGCTCTAGTAAATAAATATTTACATTTCGACATTAAATAACCCACAGAGGTGTTGATATGCCTCTAAATAAAATCAAACCACGAACATGAAAGAAATCTTTAATGACATTAATCCATATAATATCCTACAATTTCTTAAAGAAATCAAACTGTATTCCAAAATATAATTTCAATAAAACTACAACATAAAACACACATATCACTGACTCTAAAAATCATATCCACACAAACATGTATATGAACAAAAGCTGAGTATTATCTACCATGTATTCAATTGTGAAAGCAGAATAACATATATCCTATTTTTACACTATTTACATTATTCTATTCATTATTGTCCTCATCTTTGTAGCCATATTTATTACAACGTTTCGTTGTACACTCTGACCTTCTTCAGGTGGTTGAATGTCGAACTGAACCTTTTATTTTGCTCACTGGGGTAGACTGTCCTCAAGGACACATGGCACAGTGGATAAAGGTGATAGTTAGATCCAGTGACAGGACCCAAAGAGTGTGAGTTCAATACATGGTTAAGGCGGTGGAGAACTTGGAGAGGGGAATTAACAGGAGATAACTGATAACTGACATCCATTAAACATGGCACGTGGAACTAGAACAGTCTACCCCAGTGAACGAAATAAAGGGTTCAGTTCGACATTCCAACCACCTGAAGAAGGCGGTAGCATACAACGGCCGAAATGTATAATTTATTCGAAAATGATAACATAAAATCACTATAAAAATAGCCATTTTGTTACAACACTTCTAATGTCTTATCAAGTGATTCAAGTGTTGAAACAAAATGGCTATTTTTATAACATATTTATGTTATATATTTCCGAATAAATTATATTTGCTCTACTCTGTATTGAGCACTCTTTTAAGAATAGTATTTTTTTGGTTATTGGAATTTGTTCCGTATACACCAATCCAATATACGGAATATATTATAATTATATATATATATATATATATATATATATATATATATATAATTTTCTAATGAAGTAATGAATTGTTTTGTTAATCCGACAAATTCTTATAACTTTACATATATGTAAATTTACATTTTATACAGATTTTTATCACTTTAAACCTTATTTTTAGTGGATACTCATATTTGAGTAGACGTTCCGTTTATTTATTAAACAATATATTTTTTTTATTTTCGTCTACCTGCCTGAATGTTCAAGAAATCTTATTAAAGGAAGATATATGCTTACCGGCATGATTCGAACCTGCATACCCCTGGGAAGTGGGAGCTGTCGATCTAAACGACTAAGCTACGGACGACTTAGCCGATCAGACACGGCCAGAATTGTGCTTTTAAGCACATCTTCTCTCGTCATAAATCTCTCGAAATTTGTCCTGATCAATTTTCGTAACCAAACGTAAACAAAGCAATTATTCACTTAAAGGTAAAGTTCCTGTTGATGCTCAAATTCACGCCCACTTTGACAAGGTGAAACCTGATTAGCCAAACTGGCTGCTCACTGCCGACAACTTTACACTTAGCAATTTGCGATCTGTGCTGTCTGCTCGTTTTCTTCAACCCAAGTAACTTCTAAAATAAAATACTGAGTGAAATTTAGTAATACTAATAATAATTCCTCAGTTCAGTCAGAACATGTCTTTGAAGCCGGAAAATCCGACCTTGTTGTTATAGATAAAGAGAGTAGAAAGTTTCAAATTATTAACTTCGTTATTCGATATCATATAACAGAGGGCGCCGAAGAAACTGAAAAGACTTTGAAATACCAGGATCTCGCTCGGGAGCTGAAGAAGCGATGGAATGTAGCATTAATTCCCGTAGTAATGGGAGCGCTTGAAACACCACCTGGAAAACTGAAAGGGCACTTAAGGAGAATTGGATTTTCAATTAAGATTGTAGAGCGCCAGAAAACAGCCATCATTTATTCTGCGAGGATTATCTGAAAAAGTTCTTGAGTTTTTGAGGAGTCGTGTTGACACCATGCCTCAAGTAGAGAATTTCAATTGACTATGTCAATATGCGACACAAAATAATAATAATAATAATAATAATAATAATAATAATAATAATAATACCATCCACACAGACAGAAAATTGAAGCAAAACGGACATTATTGTCAAAAACCATGACTAATTGAGTGGGTCCAATATCTGCACTAGACAGCAACAAGGAATTTGAAAACTATCAAAATACAAAACCTTTGAAATAGAAAAAAATGTGGAAATTGAAAAAAAAGAATAATACCAGTTAATACGGGAAGAACAAACTGAAAGAAACTGGACATACAGAAAATTGAACACCAACCAGACTTCCGGTTACGGAGATAGGACCTGTAGGTAGTGTTCCATGGAAATAATAATAATAATAATAATAATAATAATATAAAACCCGACATGACAGAGGGGCCAATATCTACTGGAAAATACTTTACGGGAAGAAACTGGAAAGAAACTGTTATGAACACCACCCAGACCCGGTTTAGGACCTGTTACAATTCTATGGGAATACACACTGACAGAACAATCAAGGCCAATCAGCCAGATATTGTTATTAAAGACCACAAAAGAAAAACGGTGCCTCCTTATTGACATGGCAGTCCCTGCTGACTGCAATGTATCTTGAAGATATTAAAAAGTTTTCAAAATACAAGGACCTTGAAATAGAAATCTCGAAAATGTGGCATATGGGAACATCAACAATCCCTGTTGTAGTTGGAACCCTAAGATTGGTTGGAAAAGATTCCAGTAGACTAATTGAAGGGATTCTTGGAAGTCCATGCCTCAAGGAGATACAAAAAAATTGTTCTGACAAGTACAGCCCACACCTTACGAAGGGCTTTATCTATGTAATTTAATTTTTTTTTTGTCAGTGGAAAGTGTCATGACGCCATTTCTAACCTTAGGTCCCTGGGCGGGACCCGGAAAGAATTGTGTAAACGCAAGAAATCAAAGATAATAATAATAATAATAATAATAATAATAATAATAATAATAATAATAATAATTGCTTTGATACTACACCATACTTGATTGGAGGGGTTTAAATGATCATGTTTTGTGCTGGTGTATGAAGCCTGGCTATAGTAAATGTCGATTTTGGTGCCAGATATTTACCTGTCATTTGCCGGACATTAGCCTTTTATCACCCTGTATGTGACTTCATTTGCTGTACGAAAAGTTTATCCTACCACTGAAGGTGACTCTGATCTCTGAACAACACTGTGTTTGAATTTCCTAGTTGTGGTGTCATATCCTTCTATGGCAACAGAAAACAACAATATTAACAATAAGATTACTGCAATTGAGAGCCCTTGAAAAAGAATGCAGTAGAAAGGGGGGGGGTAATATTAATTATGCAGAATGCTAAATGCTAAACATTTGAGCGTGTCCCCTAGTGGCTGGCGTACTGCGCATTTCTGCATATAAGCAGACGTAGTGGTGGTCGTGATGGGGGGGGGGAGACATCATGGCTGGGTATCGAGAAGGTTGAAGAAGGAGACACCCAAAGGGACTTGGGTGTTACAGTTCGATAGTTGGGTATATCCTGCAGGTTTATGCGCTGCTTTTTGTTTTTAACCTGTTAGCATATTTGGCTGCACTGCATGTGCCTGGTATACTATTAAAAGACTGCGTGATCTGATGGGTACATTGGGCTTTTTACCTCAGTGTCACTTTTGTTGGCATGCTGATCTCACATTAAGCAATAATAATAATAATAATAATAATAATGGCTGACAACTACTCGTCTTAAAACAATATATATATTGCATGATTATCAGTATTCCTATATATCTTTTTCCCAAAAATATTTCAATAATAATTTTCTTCTTCAAGTGACAGGATAAATGCCATTAGTGTCTATATAAATTTAGCTGATTAATGAAATTAATTAAAATCATTTAAGTCAGATACATGGCTACAAAAGTGCGGCACACATTTTGGATCGAGTTCACGACTCAAGTGATGTCCTCTAAGATGAGTCATGCGTGATACACGCTTAGGCGATCATGTATTTTTCGATACATGACTGACGAGGCAGATTTTTTTCTGGCAATAGGTTGCCATTTCTTTCTTTCTACGGTAGTAGAACCAGTTGCCATCCAAGGCTATAGAACCCGACCTGTCCTGCTATTTATCCATAGCTGGG